ACCGGCCAGCTCAAGGAGAGCCTTTGATTTGTGTGAGCACCCAAGCTGCCATGTGTACTAGGGGAGCCCAAGGGTCCCGTGTGACAACGGCATGACCATGCATCCATCCTGGGAGAGGGCCCGGGCCTGAACGTGGTCATGCATACCCTGGGGCCTCCCCTCTCTGGTCTTCTGTCTGGGTGGGTTTTCCCTTGAAGACTGTGTGTGCGTGCACACACAGCCTGTCTGATCCACAGCACCTGTGCAGCCAGGTCTCTGTCTCTGCCAGGAGCAGCTGTACAGGATGCAGGACTGGCAGCTGGCATACCCACCATCATCTATCTGCATGACACCTTCTGCCCACACTACCCCCAGACGCTGGGCTTCAACCCCAGGTGATGATGGTGCCTTCCTACATGGACCCACGGAACTCGCCTGCTCAGACCCCAGTGGATTTCTACCCCTAGGCCCTGCATCCCTCGGGTAAGCACCAAGGTGCAGTGAAAGGCCAGGGTATGTGGTGTGGTCAAGGGCGTTGCCTTGGGAGGTAGGCAGACCCCACCTGGATTCCAGTCTGACCTCTTTGCAAGCCACACGTCCAGTCTGAGTTTTAACTTCCTTGTTTGCAAAATGAGGGTATAATAGTAACACTCACAAAGAATTGTTAGGAAGAGACTTTAAGATTATGAATCATAAATGGTCTTAATTAATTTTCATATCTCTGCCATGTGGTTTCGTCCCTCTTTCTGTTCTTTCGTGTACTCTGTGTTCTCTCTTTTCCTTGATTAGTCTTTCCCAAGGTTTGTCAAATGCCATTTTTTAATGTCATTTTAAAAAATGTATCCTTTGAGGTTCTTAATTCCTGTCTTTTATTTGTTTTTTATTTCATTAATTTCTGCCTCCCCCCATTTTTTCCACTGAAATTATTTTGCTCTTTTTATAATTATGTTGGATACCTAAATAAGTCACTAGTTTCTCAGTTTTCTGATGTATTTAAGTCTCATCTGAGTCTATGAGCCACTGAGTTTTAAAACGTTTTTATTATTGTTCAGTTCTAAATATTAGTCTTATTTTGAGTGATTTTTAATTGTACATTGTTAAATTTCCAAATACAGAGTTTTAGTATCACCGTTATGATGCTAATTTCTACTGTGGCTGCCTTTCGGTCATATGTCATGGTCTGTATGATACACACCAGCAGTCACGATTTTCTTCTGTTAATATCAGATAATAAATAATTTAGTCTTCAAACTGCTACTCCAGTTTTTTTGTTGTAGAACAAAAACAGGTATAGACAATAGTAAGTGAATGGGTGTGGTTGCTTCCCAGTAAACTTTATTTTTAACAAGTGGCAGATCACGCTTCACTCAGGGGCTTGAAAAGAATGTATTCTCCTAATGGACATGGTCCATTAAAGTGTGCTTGCTGACTGTGCTGTACAAATATCATCACAGTTTTTCATCCCCTTGATGAGTTACTAAGAGGTGTGTGAACATTTAAGACTATGATTGCGGATTTGTCAAATCTTATAAACCTGTCAGTTTTTGTTTTACCTACCTGGAAGCATATGGACTTGGGATGACTGCATCTTGTTTCTTGTATCTTTGTATAGCACATTTGTTACTTGGGGTTTCTACCTTTAATGTCTACTTTATCTGATCATAATTTCATTCCAGTTTTCTTTGGATTAGTGTCCGTGTGTTATCTTTTCCCCCCAACTTTTTATGGTCAGCTTGAGCCCTTTCTGGAGGGGAATATCTTTGTATGTTTAAGATGTGTCCGGTTTTACCCACGTTGAGAATTTGTGACTTCAGTTGCCAAAGTTGTTCCCATTAGATTGGGGGAGAGAGTGTCAAGTTTTCTGATTCTTTTTGTTTCTTTTCCTTCTACATTCTGTTTCTACTGTGAGTGGTTAGGTTAAATTCTAACATGCAGCCTTGACTTAACAAAGGCTAATCAGTTTACCCTGAACCTGAGCTCTAATTCACGAGTCTTGTACTTTTTGCCTGGAATTTTAATTCTCCCCTTGTTTTGATTCCTACCAAATTATTATCTTTGTTGTTTTATTCAGTCTATGCTTGTTCAGATCTGCCTGTATGCTGACTAGCTCCTTTGCTGCTTATCCTTCCATCTGGGTTCCATTTATTTTTTTCAGAAGGTACATTCTGTCAAGGCCTCTAGGAAAGATTTTTCGCCAATAAGTATTCTTCACGTGGGGCTTCGCAGGTGGCACCAGTGGTAAAGAATTCGCCTGCCAGTGCAGGAGACATGGGTTCCATACCTGGGTCTAGAAGATCCCCTGGAGGAGAAAATGGCACCACACCCCAGTGTTCTTGCCTGTGAGATCCCGTAGACAGAGGAGCCTGAATGACTACAGTCCATGGGGCCACAGAGAGTTCGACACAACTGAGCGACTGAGCACTGTTTTTCACCTGTGACAGCCTTTCTCTTGGACGATAGTGTAGCTGGTATAGAACTCTAGGTTTGCAGTTACTTTCTTTTAGGAATGTGAAGATGGTATTCCTTTTCTTCTGGCTCCGGTGTCTGGTTTGTGTTGCTTTGAGATCTCTCTGTCTTTGGTCTCCTGGAGTTCTTTCTCAAAAGGCTGTGTCTAGGTATGTATCTATGTCTATCCTTACTTTATTCTGCTTAAAATTCATGGTGCTCAAACCTAAGGTTGTATGGCTTTCATCACTTCTGGGAGTTTCTCTTCTAATTATCATGTTGACTATTTGCCTTTTTTCATTCTTTGTATCCTTTCTTCCTAGGTAATCTACTTTGATTATTTGTACTTAGGTAATTTGTATTTAGGTAATGTACTTAGATTATTTGTACTTATCATTTGTACTTATTCTGCTACACAAGTGTCTGCATCATGATACTTCTCACTTTGCCTCCAACTCTCTTGAATATAGGAGAGCTGATTTCTGTGGCGCCTTCTGGGAACATGCTTAGAATTATTCTCTAATTCCATGTTCTCTCCAACTGTGTCTAATCTGCTGTTTTTAATTTTTTTTTTTTACTGTCCAGTGGGTTTTTAATTTCAGTGTCTGTATTTTTATTGCTAGACTTTTCCCCTCAAAGATTTCTTTTCTTGTGTCTTGTATTTTTGTGAGTTTTCAATTCCTTCTTTTATGCTTTTAATAAGGTAAACAGTAATTCTCTGGTGTTTAACATTTTGATCTGTTTTCTGAAGTTCCTGGGGACAGTGCATGATCCCATGAACTTGCTGTGGACTTGTGGTGGATTACATTCTCCCCGATGTTCTGGGGGTTTTGACTCATAAGTTCATTTCCAGCAGAGCTAGTCTTACCTTGGGGATTCTGTATAGCTTGGTTTGAGAGTGCACCCTTCCAGGGTGGCTCTGTGTTTTCATCTGCCAGCTCAGAACTACCTTTTATTGTTCCTCAGGAAGTTTCTGGAGAATTCTAGTGGTGTAAATCTGAACTCCACTCTGCTGCCCCCAAGCCTGAGTGAAAGCTGGCATGTGGCCCTGAATTCCTCACAGGGGCCTGTTTTCCCTGCTCTGGCCCTGGCTGGGACACTAGCTCCGTCATCCCCCCTTCCTAAATAGCGTGAGGTTTTTCTGGTCTGTCTTGAAAGTGAACGCATAGCCCTTTGAGGGTCTCTGTGTAAGCAGCACCTCAGCTGTAGCTCTCTGCCTGTGCAGAGAAGCCCCATCTCTTGTTGGGAGGGGGAAGGGGCAGTGCTTAGGAGCACACCTGTAGGTTTCTACATCTGACAGATGTGTCCCTGGCTCCCCTCTAGGGAGCCCTTGCTTGTGCCTCTGACCCATGGCTCTTGCCCATGGCTGTGGTTTCAGCTCCCTGGGGGTTTCCTGGTTAGGGGGAGCAGAGCTCTGCAAGTGAAATGTGTAATAGGTTTTGTACAGCGCTTTTGTGACAGGAGGTTTTTTTTCAGGTGATATGAGCTGCTATATTGCCAAAAATAGGTCTGTGTAGTGCTGAACAGTTCTGCATACCTGGTAATCAATACTTAGTAAATGGTGTGTAACTTTAGGATTCCAGAGAGGGTCCTCGCCACCACATGACTCACACTACCTTTGTGTCGGAGTTATATATTGATCACATTTGGACAGAACACTCCACAGCTGAAAGGAAGTATATAACCACTGGCCTGATGCAGAACCGTTTTCCTGATCAGATCATCTCAGCTTTGAAAATGGGCACAAAAACATTGGCAGCCAGTAATTAGCCTTGTGAAGTATCTGAAAAAGCAGACCCTCTTTTCTACACAGACTCCGGCCCGATGGGAGACCTTTAATGTCATCTACAGCATCCCATCTGGTAGAAGTGGACAGAGGGGCCCTGGTGGGGCAGGGTGCCATCTCCCCAGCTGGTTTGTATGTGGTTGGACTGAGATGTCAGCGTATCCCTGTCTCCTTGGGCCAGTTAAGAGTTGAGTGTCATCTGTGTGTCCCCTTCTCCCCTTCCCTGGACAGAATGTGGTGTATCACTGTAAGCTCAGGGGCAGGAACAACCAGAGCTGAAGCCCAGACTCCTTTCAGAATCTTCTTGCAGGGTTCAGAAGCAGACAGACACTGGCTCCTTGGTGTGTGTGGGCTCCCTGGAGCAGTAGCTCATCGCTCCTGTGTCTGTGCAAGAGACCCTCGGGCATCTCCCGCTGCTAGCTGCCTGACCCCTTAGCTTTCTGCCACCAGCCATGAGCTCTCTAGCTGGTTGTGTCCTGTTTCCATTTGCCAGTTTATTATACCCTTCGACATAGGGGCTCTTCATCGAGAACTAAGATTGGACCTCCAGGGTCTTTGAACAGGCCTTTCAGGTTGTGTGTGTGTGCCTGCAGAGGTTCTGTGATCAGATGACGTGAAGCCGGTGGGGTGCTGCATCTGCGTGATGGTCAGGGCAGCTTGTCTCCTCTGGGCCTGTGGGCGACCCATGGCTTGCTGAACGAGGTGAACAATTGGCTGATCACTTCCTTCAGGACTGATGAGGCCCATAATGCCCGCGGATTCCCTCAGTGGGACCGGCTGTCTCTCTCAGGACCAGAGCTGTGTGCCCCCACTGCTGGAGAGGAAGATGACTGCCATTGACCCCGCCCCCATGTGGAGCCCCGAGGGTTACATGGCACTGCAGAGCAAAGGCTACTCGCTGACCCACCTGAAATCCAGCGACAATTTGGCCATGGACGTGCATGTCAGGTGAGGCGACACTCGGTCCTGCTGCCCTGCAGCTGAAGGAGGAATCTCGGTCCTCAGTAAGATGGGCTCTGGGAGGAGGCCCTGTCCCGGGAGACACTGCCCTCAGGGAAGGGGCACCTTGGGAGGGACCGGTGTGCTCTGGGGAAGGAGAGTGAGATGAAGATGGCTGGGTGCTTTCACGTGAGAGGCTCTGATGGTGACTGAAGGCCCCGGAGGAATCCTGGGGTCAGAGGCAAATCCCACAGAACCTTGGGGCAGGGCCACGGGGTGGGGTTGAGTGCATGTGTTATGGCTCCTTCCTGTGAATGTAAGGCGAGCTGGCAGAGGGGAGCACCTGCCTGGCCCAGGACACATGGCCCGTCCAAGAGGCGGCTGAGGACGAAGACCAAAAGACTGACGCCGTGCTGGCCAATGTAGCCCCGGCCACCTCAGAGGACCAGGGCTCAGTCTGTGCCAGCTCAGACCATGAGGCCAGCCGTCCCGAGGGGCACGACAACACAGATGGGGCCCCAGGGGCCAGACCCTCCAGGGAGGCCAGCCACACACGCCTGACCGAGAGGAATAACTGGATCTTCATTGATGAGGAGCAAGGCTTTGGGGGCCGGGGGCCAGCCCGGGGCCATGGCCATGGGTTCTGAGAGTTCACCTTCTGCCGGCAGCCCACTGGTAGTAGCCTGTGGGGCAGGGGCGTCCTCGGGGCACAGGCCCTGTACAACGGCAGCCAGAGGAGTGGCCAGGGCCGGGGTCTGCAGGAGTTTGGCCCACCAGGTTAATTCCCCCGGGCCAAGCCCCGGCGGAGGATGGCCAGCGAGACACACAGTGAGGACTCTGAGTAGGAGGAGCTTCCAAACAGCAACAGCAGCAAGGCGCCGAGCCTGGGGATGAGGGTGAGCTCCCAGAGTAGGAGGAGGCCACGGGAAGGAAGGGCGACTTCAGGGAGTCCAGGCAGTCTGGCAGGATGCATCCCCGTAACAGCCCTGCAGTGTCCCAGTTTTAAAGATGGGAAGTTGAGGCCCAGAGAGGTTGAGTGATATGTCCAGGGTTACACAGCTGGTCAGGAGTGGAGCTGGGCCTCAGGTGTGTCTGTCGCTGAGGCCTGTTTTCTTCACTGTTTCCTGTTTGCTTTGAGATAACAGTGCATGACAGGGTTGTGAGAAGACTGTTGAAATCCTCTCTGGGTTTCCTAGACCCTGGTGATAGTGAATAGGCTGAGGCCCAAGCCAGCTAAGGGCCTGGCCTTTTGAGTTGACTCAATGCTTAGATTTCAGGTTGTCTGTAGGGTTAGGTTATTCTTAGCTTGCAGTAAATGGAACCATTGCCCTTCCTTGTGAGTCTTGGTTCAGACACCAACATTGAAAATTGTGGATCCAGCCCTGGGGAGGAGAGTGAGGTGGGCTCTGGTGGGCGAAGGCTTCACTGAGGTCCTGACCAAGAAGCAGTGCTGCCTGCTGGAGGAGGAGAGGAGAAAGAAGGAGCAAGCAGTGCAGGTATGGGGCGTGATGCGAGGGGGCTGGGACGCAGAGCGCAGCAACCTGCGGAGTCGGAGTGTTGAGAATTTGGCCCGGGCCGGGAGAGGAAGAATGACATGCTTGTAAGCAGGCACTGCCTCCCAGGGCCCACTGTCCCTGTGCTCCGCGGGGTAGATGGTGTGATTTCCATGCTCTCAGAGGGTGACTGGTCCTTGTTGACACCAGCTGAAATGAAGTGAGCAGGACATAGACCTCTGTTAGCTCCTGAAGTCCAGCCTCCTCCTATTGTAGTCTCAGATCACAGCCCACTGGGCACTTCCACGGGTGGTTTGGTTGGCATTGCAGTTCCCGCGTGGTCAAGGTTTTAACTGATGGTTCGTGAATTCTCTGGAGCAGTTTCTGGGTGTGGTTTTGGAGCCCAGAGGCGTCTTTCTGGGGGGAGCTAATTTTTCCCGTCTGCCATCGGGGCTGGACCCCGTCACCCTCTTCTCCGTAGGCTCCTGTCAAAGGCTGAAGTCTTTCCTCTTGAATTCCTCTCGGTTTGCGAAGAAGTAGAACAACCTGTGTCTGGAGCAGGGCGACGGTCCTGTGCCCGGCAGCAGCCTGGGCACCGGGATCTGTGAGAGCAGCAGTCAGGGTAGGAGCTTGTGGTCGGATCCCAAGGCTCGGGCCGCCTCCCAGGCTTGCAGTCCTTCTCAGGGTAGGATTCTGCCTTGGGGCCGTGAGCATAGACACAGCATTGCCTGTTTCCCGGCTTCCTCTGCCGAGTCTGGGGTTAATGCCGTCTGAGCACCACGTGCCGCTGCAGCCTCTAAACAGATGTACGGTTCCCTGCCTGAAGTGTGGTGGCGAGCAGAGCATTCTGCATCCAGTGACGGGAAAGAGTGGTCCCCACCCCTCCTGGCTGACGGGAAAGAGTGGTCCCCACCCCTCCTGGCTGAGGTCGCTCAGGAGTTGACTTGACTCTCACCCACATCAGCAGTCCTTTCTTCTTACCTTGAGAGCGAGCAGCAGACGAATATTTGGGAGAACAGGAGTTGAGAGCTTTCCTGTCTGTGCTGTGTGCCCTTTCCTTGCCAGAAGGAAGGTTCTGTCGCCCCCCCCTCCCCAGATGTCGTCTTAGACTTGAAACCAGATTAGGGTGGCCCTTAATTTGTAGAAAATCTCTGTTTCCCTGAAGCTAAAAGAATTTCTTATCCAGTGGTATTTTCCTGGTAATCTTTCATTTTAAAATACGAAACCATTTTAATTGAGCAGATTCTTCTTGAGTTCCTGCTTTGGGCAAGGCCCTGCGGGAACTTGGTGAAATCATCCATTGCTAGGTCTTTTATTCAAAGCAGCTGAGACTTCCAGAGTGAGTGACAACCCTGGAGCCACATGACAGACACCCTGGGTTCTGAGCCTGGTTCTCTTAGTTTTACCACATGGCCTGTCTTCATGTTTCTGATTAAAACCTTGATTCTAAGCGTTTCAACGTAATATTGGGAAATAGTCAGCTCTGATTGAAAGTACAGTAGTCTTTCAGTATATCTTGGGTGCAGTCAGTTTGGTTTTGTGAGAGTGGTGGGTGTCACAGTGTAAATGTCCAAAAATACGTACCTGCCAGCGTGGTCCAGCAGAATGGACCAACTAGGGAGTTGCCCTTGGCTATCAAGGATTTCCCTCCTGGATTGTGCAGTGTCTCGTGGTTGCTCAGACCAGGGGTGTGTGGATGGCTTCAGAAGGGCCCTGGATCTTGGAAAAGAGCTCAGGAGGTTTTCTGCACACACACACACACACACACACAGGGTCTGTGACTTTTGTTGGATTCTCAAGAATGGTTGAGCTAACAACAGTTGAGTAATCATCAGCTTGACTCGTTCAAAGACTTGTAGGGAGGTGCCAATTTGTAGAAATAAATAGTTGGCTTATGGGAGAAAAGCTTTACCACAGCAGAGGTAGTGATACAGAATTCTAATCCCCGTGAGTGAGAAGTTGCTGGCATGTTTACCTGGAGCTCCTTGTCCATGAAATCACGGGAAGCTCGTTTAAGGAAATGTTTCTGGGGATGCTGGGGAGTCGAATGAAGGTGTCAGACTGAGGAGGGAGGTGGTTTGGAGACTTGAGTTTGTGTGAGCTGCCCGTGGCCGTGTTTCTGGCTTGGTTGTTCCTCTTTGATGTCCTGACTCTGTCTTTCTCCTAGCAGCCCTCCCCCTTCAGGCCTCTGCTAGTGACTCCTGGACCAAAGTTGCCACTGCCTTCACCAGCACTGAGCCTGGCTCTGCTGAGGTGAGTGGCCCCCAGGCACCAAGCATGTGCTCACCATCAAGGGCCGGCCCAGTGGCCCGCCCATGCTCTCCCTGGCCAGGCAGTGAGCCTGGCTCATCGCTGGTCTCCAGTCTTGCTTTCAGCTCTGCAGGAGGTGCCTGTGTGGGAGGGAGAAAGAGGGGATGGCCAGGGAGCACCCACCCTGGGCCCTTGGTGTCTGGCCATGCTCACAGTGCAGGGGTCCATGTGTACCTGGGATCACGGGCTCGGGCCAGGAGACATGTCAAGCCCCACGTCTCGCTCTGCAGGACTCAGGTGCTGACTGGCCGTGTGTCCTGCACAGCAGGGCTTTAAGAGCAGCCGGGGAGACAGCAGTGTTGACCTGAGCGCAAAGTCCTAGAGTCCTTAGCGACCTCTTCGCAGCGCAGCTTCCCATGTGGCACCCTGAAGCCCGAGGATGCAAGTGGGCCTGGCCTGGTGCCAAAGGCCAGTAGCCACAAGGAGCAAACTCAAAAGCAGTCAGAGCCGAAGTTTATCTGGAGCCTGGCTCTCAGGGGCCAGGCTGGCCAGAATGGCTGGTGTCCTTTTTCTTCTGTTCTGGCTCCCAGTTCCTTGGGAGCTAGAGGTCAGGGTCACTCCAGGCTGTGTGTCTCAGCCTCTTTGCTTTTCCATCAAGGATTCAGAACAAGGCTCAGGACAGAGCACGGAGCACAGACTGGGACCCATCGGAAGAGAGCGCTCTCTGCAAAACAGAAAGGGCTCCGAGGGGGCCGAACGGCTGCCACGTGCTCTGGTTCCCCATTCATGGGGTGGAGATTCACGGGGACTCTGTGCTGCCAGTGACACCCATTGAATTTGGAGCCAACCCGAAGGTGAGGCTTGAAGTGTTTCTTCTCCGCACCTCCCCAACCCCTGTTTTTGGTGCTTGGAGAGGAAGGAGGGGCCTTTCCTGGAGGAGCGGGCTGGTAGGTGCTGGCAACACTCCAAGGGATGTTGTGGGGTGGCATCCTGGTTGAAGAGCTGCTATGGGCTGGTCCCGTCTCCCTGCCAATGCCAGGCAAGTTCTCAGACCAAGCAGGAAGCCAGGCAGGGAAGGGGATGGCCACCTTGTTTGGGGGCTGTTGGGGAACAGCTGGCCGTTTTGTTCACGTGGTGAATACTGCTTACTTATTTACTTTTAAGTCTTTATTTATGTGGCTGTGCTGGGTCTCAGTTGCGTCACATGGAGTCTTTGATCTTCGTTGCGGCATATGGGATCTAATTCCCTGAGCAGGGATCAAACCGGGCCCCCTGCATCGGGATCCCAGAGTCTTAGCCCCTGGACCACCGGGGAAGTCCCATGCTGCGTTTTTTGAGTTGCTGAGGCTATGGGTCTACTTCACGTGTGTCTCTGCCAGAAGGCGAGCCAGGGCAATTTCTGTGGGCCTTGTTCCCTTTTTTTTTTTACAGGACTCTGATTTCAGCTTGCAGCCCGGCTCTGCCTCTGGTCCCGCAGGGATTCCAGTTGTCAAACCTCAGGACGCGTTGGCCATGCTTCTACTGCCCAGCTCTGTGGTCCCTGTGCCGGCAGGCCCCGGGGAAGACAGCCTCGTCAGTGTGGCTCTCGGGTTGGGAGGGTCGGTTTGTGTCTTGGTGCCGTCTCTAGCTAGCTGAACGCCCGTGGCAAGTTGTTCCACGCCCTGGTTTTGTGAGCTGAAAATGGAGTGGTGTAACTCCTAAGGTCTGTTGTATCTGGCACTTTGTGATTCAAAACTTCCCGGGTTCCACAGTCACACACGTTTGAGAATGCTGTGCTAATTTAAGTAAACAAGTTTCCTTACTCTACGATTATTCAGAAACCCCATGACATGCAGGTGGGCGCTGGACACTGCAGGAAGGAGGTCTAGCGCTGTGTTTCTGAGCATATTTCCAGGGCCTCTTTTTCACAGTCTGGGGTGAGGGGCTGAGACAGGAACTGGGACCTCCATGCCATGCAGTGGGGCCTGCGTGCTGGCCGCCAGCTGTGCTTCTGTTGCTGAAACACGGCGGCCCTGCTGGAAGGCTAGGTCTGGGCAGGAGAGGGTGTGGTTCCCCCCTTTGCAGGTGTCCCACTGTGTCCTACCCTCCAGGCCGGGCTCACCTCCAGCATCCCCATCCTGCAGCGTGACCACCACATCCAGAGAGCCATCAGCCTCTCCCACATGTCCTTCCCCACCGCTGACTTCACTCTGAAGGTAACTTGGGGCCTGGCTTGTGAGTGGGCAAGAGCAAGCAGACCCCACCCCAGCACACCCCCTCCTTCCACCCCTGGACTTAGCTTTGTGCCACCACTGCCTTCTGGCCCGTAACTTCAATCTCCCCCCACCTCCTTGCATCCAAAGATGGAGTCTGTGCACAAGGCTTGGGAAAACTCGCCCAGCTTGCCAGAGCAGAGCTCGCCAGGAGGCGCCAGCTCAGGCCCGCAGCCCCCATCCTCCAGGGGGGCCTCCAGCGGGGTCAGCAATAGCTCCTTCAGTGGAGTCTCCAAGCCCCCTGTGCCCGTGGCCTCAGTCACACTTTCTGCAGCCCTTCCAGGTACCTCTCCCCTGGTCCAGCTCACGGATCCTTCTCCATTCCCTCGAGGGAAACATGAGTTTGTAGCCCTGAGGCCCCAGCCTTGACCTAAGGAGCATGTTCCTGCCTGGGGGCCATGGGTTCCTGTGTGCTCTGGTCTCTGGCACTTGCTGCTCTCAGCTTCCGACCCTGGGAGGCGACAGGACTCTGTGACCTCTGCAGGGCTCTCTCACCTCCTGCAGAGAGGTCCCATCAGAGATTCCGTCGCATGAGCAGCTGTCTGAACGTTGCCCCCTCCTCTGTGAAATAGCAGAGTCGTGATGGCCCAGTGCGGGTTCATCATGCCCATGAGATGAGCTCACATCCAGGGAGGGTTTTGTATCAACTGAGCCTCAATAAGCAGGAGCCAGTTTCACCCCAATGGTCACTGTCCTCATCACGGTGTCAGTGCCCAGAGGAGCCCGTGGGGATTCAAGGGGCCCAGCTGCCAGCGTCTCAGTGATCCGATTGCAACAGATCCTTCTGACTCTCCACTGTGGACTCAATAGCAGGGAGATGAAGGGGACCGTGACTGAGAGACCTTGGCAGCCTCCTTTATGACCGAGCCCTTCCTGGGTGTGCGGGGTGGTGGGTGAGAGGGGAAGGCTGGCTGCAGCGGCCCCTCTCCCCGGGCCCTGGGCTGCACAGGAGCCCAGGGCCAACTCTGCCACGTTGCCTCCCCCACCACTTTGGGGGACCTTCTGGGACAGTGAGGCTTGATCCTGTTCCCCTGCCTCGAATTGTGTTTCCAGGCAGCCACCTGCCACCTCTCTACCTGGATGGCCATGTGTTTGCGAGTCAGCCCTGGCTGGTTCCTCAGACCATACCTCAGCAGCAGAGGTACCAACAGGTGATGCCAGCGAGACAGCTGACCCAGGGATAGAGGGGAGGGTGCAGCACAGGGCGTGATTGGCTGCTTCATGTACCCGTTCATGGCCTGTCTCATGTTTTGAACCCCTCACATTACTGCCGTGTACCTGGCACGTTATGGCAGCCAGTCAGCATTTCCCGAGTGAACACGTGAGAGCCGAGGAGGAGAGATGGAGCTGAGTGCTCTGGACCGCTTAGCTTTCCTTTCCTGATGCTCTCCCTCCTGCACCCTAGCCAGGGGATTCACTGAAACGGAATTCTCTTTGGTGATCAGGTATCCTTCTGATGAAGACAAGAAAGGCCTAGACTCCCAGGCATGGATGCGTTAGAAAGCGGTAGTTGTGTAAGTGAGCAGGTGTCTGTGTTCATGCACAGTGGGCACAATTCTGTGCTGCCAGGGGCCGCGTGTGGAGGGAGTCTCCCTCCTGAAGCTGGTGCTTGACCTTCCACGGGGCTCCTGTGCCCGCCAACCCCTGTACCTGCAGAGCCCAGGGTGAAGCACTGCCCCAGGGGCAGAGGATATGGCCCATCCTGATCTTTTCAGAGCATATTCTTAAACATTATGTCTTTTGGCTCTGCAAGGTCTCATAACTGGGCCATACCACATGTCTTCTTCTGTCTGTGGCATTATCCACCCACTGTTCCGTTTCTGGACCCGCCTCTGTTGGGGGTGGAGCTCAGGCTCGTTCATCCAGCTGTGCAGGGTCCAGTGTAGGGATGCTTGTAGTGCTGGTTTGGGGTTGCTTTCTGCCAGTTCTCTGCTCTCTCCTGAGAAGGAAGGAAGTGCAGGCAGGCTGTGTTCAGTTTGCTCTATGGGTGGTGTTGGATGTCCCAGGAAGAAAGACTGGGGTGGAGGTGAAGGGGTGCTGGTGATGGTCTGTGAGAAACAGCTTGCAGGGCAGCATGGTGACCCACCCACCTCCCCAACTGCAGGCTGTTGCTTCCTAGCAGATCCCAATTTTCCTTCCCACATCTCTCTCTCTTTTTCTTTTATCCATTTATTTTTATTAGTTGGAGGCTAATTACTTTACAACATTGTAGTGGTTGCCATACATTGACATGAATCAGCCATGGATTTACATGTGTTCCCCATCCTGAATCCCCCTCCCACCTCCCTCCCCATCCCATCCCTCTGGGTCATCCCAGTGCACCAGCCCCGAGCACTTGTCTCATGCATCCAACCTGGACTGGTGATCTGTTTCACACTTGATAATATACATGTTTCGATGCTGTTCTCTCAGATCATCCCACCCTCGCCTTCTCCCATAGAGTCCAAAAGTCTGTTCTATACATCTGTGTCTCTTTTTCTGTCTTGCGTATAAGGTTATCGTTACCATCTTTCTAAATTCCATATATATGCGTTAGTATACTGTACTGGTCTTTATCTTTCTGGCTTACTTCACTCTGTATAATGGGCTCCAGTTTCATCCATCTCATTAGAACTGATTCAAATGTATTCTTTTTAATGGCTGAGTAATATTCCATGGTGTATATGTACCACAGCTTTCTTATCCATTCATCTGCTGATGGGCATCTAGGTTGCTTCCAAGTCCTGGCTATTGTAAACAGTGCTGCAATGAACACTGGGGTACACGCGTCTCTTTCAATTCTGGTTTCCTCGGTGTGTATGCCCAGGAGTGGGATTGCTGGGTCATATGGCAGTTCTATTTCCAGTTTTTTAAGGAATCTCCACACGGTTCTCCACAGTGGCTGTACTAGTCTGCATTCCCACCAACAGTGTAAGAGGGTTCCCTTTTCTCCACACCCTCTCCAGCATTTATTGCTTGTAGAGTTTTGGATAGCAGTCATTCTGACTGGCGTGTAATGGTACTTCATTGTGGTTTTGACTTGCATTTCTCTGATAATGAGTGACGTCTCTTAAAGCTCAAGCCCAGCTGGGACTGAGGGGCGGGCCGCATGTCTCCCAGTCTCAGGAGATCTTCAGCTCCTTACAGCCCTTCAGGTGAGATGCCTGGGCTTGAGGGGGCTTTGCGGCTTGCCCCCAGGGGTTCCAGCCTTCACAGCCTGTGGGGCTGTTCCCTTGTCCACCTGTTGCTGTGAGCATGTCCACGGGGGATGCGGGTCGGGGTAGAGAGTGAACTGTGGTGTGTTAGAGACCAGGGGCCCAGCCTTGTCTTTTGTCCCCGTGTCCTCCTGCCTCACTCCCTGCTCTCCCTCATTGCTGCCCTTGGCCCGCTCTCTCAGTGTGTCTGTCCTGTGCTTTTGGCATCACACAGGTTTTCCTGTGCCTCATACAGCCTGTATGTCTGCTTAACCAGTGATGTTCAAACTGGGGTCCCTAGACTAGCAGCAGCAGCATCGAGGAGCTTGTTGTAAATGCAGATTCTCAGGCCCCATCCCAGGCCTCTGTGTCAGAAACCCTGGGGCTGAGGCAACAGCCCATGTGGGAGTGAGTGCTCTGGGGTCTGAGGTGAGACCAGCCAGTTCAGCCGCTTACCTGACCTGACCATCCGTCTGGCTTTTGCAGACACTTTCCTTCGGGCTTTCGAAAGACAGGTGGCACTAGTGGTAAAGAATCCACCTGCCAACACAAGAGATGCAGTGGACACAGGTTCAGTCCCTGGGTGGGGAAGATCCCCTGGAGAAGGAAATGGGAACTCACTCCAGTATTCTTGCCTGGAAAATTCCATGGACAGAGGAGCCTTGTGGGTTACAGTCCATAGGTTGCAAAGAGTCAGACACAATTGAGCCCACACACAGATATACACATATACTTTTAATCCAAGAGAAAGCAGAGGTTAGATAAGTAGTTACAGTTCAGGACAAAACCAGATAAAACACGAGGAGGACTTCCCTGGGGTTCAGTGGATGGGAATCCACCCGTCGATGCAAAGGACACTGTTTCGACGGCTGGTCTGGGAAGACCCAACGTGCCACGGAGCAACTGAGCCCATGGCCCACAACTACTGAGCCTGTGCCCTAGAGCCCATGTTCAGCAGTAAGAGAAGGCACTGCAATGAGAAGCCTGTGCTCAGCAACTAGGGTGTAGACGCCCCTGGCCACAACTAGAGAAAGCACATGTGCGTCAACGAACACTAAGTGCAGGCAAAAATACATAAATAAATTCAACATGACGAGAGGAGAGCAGGCCAGCTTCTCCGAGTAAAGGGCAGTGCTGAGCTGGGCTAGGGAGCGTGTTCGAAAGCCAAGTGGAAAGTACAGCCTCACAGTCGCTTACAGACAACTAAAGCAGCTCTTTGTCCCAGGCTCCCCTGTCGGTACTACAAATGCAAAGCCGTGAGCAGACGTTGTTACAGTTTTCGTTGTAGCTTTAGCAGATATTAATAGGTTTTCACCGTCGTCCCTGGAGAAAAGCATGTCAGGGCAGAACCAGAGTCACATGGGTACATAGAGTAGGTGTGGACACTCTGGTCAGTCATGTGCGAGGAAAGCCCAAAGAACGAAGAACGTACCGAGCAACAGTCTACCATGTTGGCTTCTGCTGTCATCCATACCACAAGTGGAAGCTCGTGAATTAACCAGTCTCACCTGAGGGTCTAACATTACAGCAGAAAGAGAGCCAGTGGGACCTCTAGGTGGCTCTGACTCCTGCCTCCACAGGCGACACTGTGAGGACACCCTCACACACCCCCACTGAGGGGACTGGTCACAGTTTCTCAGGAGCAGAAATGCTGGAGTTCAGGGATGTGCAGGCTTCACTGGAGTCAGTCATGCCAGGCTGCTCCCTGGCACGCTGCACCCATCTCCATTCCTACAGCATCCTGCGACTTTTGTGGATTTTCTCTTCTGTAACTAGCATGTTTGTATCCTTTGCCCATTTCCACAAATCAGAATTGTAGTTATATTCTTGATACTCAGCAGGATATTGAATATATTAGTATATTCTTGATTTAATCTGTTATGGGCTTAAAACAATGTTTAGAAGTACTTCCCCACTCCTAGCTCACAAGAATATTTTCTTACAGTTTCTATAGTAGCTGTATTTATTCAGTAACTCAAGGAACAGTTTTTGCTGGACACCTTCCCAGGCCTCCGTGGAGACTCCAGTCCATCTGGGAAAGACTGTCAAGAAATGAGAAGACAACTGTACAATGTAACCTATGGAAAGGTGGTGAGATGTCTGGCCAGAAGTGCAGCAGCAGAAAAGAGAGGGAGCGCTTGGAGAGGAGTGCTGTCCATTTTCCACTGGGTGGTCGGGGTTGGCTCTGTTGTGAAGCAGAGATGGAGTGAAGACCTGAGGGAGGTTTGGAAGCGTGAAGAGACCAGTGTGGCTGAAGCAGGGTGGGTGAAGAGGAGAGCAGCAGGATAGGGGGTCAAGAGCTGACAGGGACTGGATGTGGAGGCCTCAGGGCACATGCTGAGGGCTTGTGCTCAGAGTGAAGTGGGAGGTGGTGGAGGGTGGCTGTGGGTTGGATTGTGACTCCCAGAAAAATGTTGAAGTCCTAACCCCTGGAGCCTGTGAATGTGACAAAATCATGCCATTTTGAAAAATTCACTGTGTTTTTACTATTTTATTTCTGGCATTAATAAAGGTCATAAGGAAGAATCATGACTTAAGTGTCCTCTTATTTGTTTTAAGTAATGACCTCTGATAAAAACTCGGAACACGTTTTGAAGGCTGAGTGTTGAAAATAGACTTCCCTGCTGTTTTCAAGTACAACAGGCCTAACCTGACGCACATGGAATGCCCCACATCCATGTTACCTCACTGCAAGCCGTTCAGCAGGTGGCTGGAACAAGCACTGCTTCCGGTCAGCCAAACCACGTCTTTTTTCTGGGTCAGAAACTAGCCTCAGTAGCTGACAGGAAAATCAACGGCCCTGCCAGAAACCACAGATAAGGTGACCTTCTGTACTGACATTTAAAGGCAACAGCACCCAGCCTGCCTCCCCATGGCAGGGGTCTCTTGTACCCTCACTTCTCTTTTCTCCGTGGCTGATGCTCCCAGCTGCCCTGGGTGCTGGCTCAGCAGTGTCTCTACGCCATGATGTAAGGCAGAGGCAACCAGAGTAGCTGGGGCTCAGGTTTCAGGGAACCAGGCCAAAGGCACAGACCCTACAGCCAAGGGGAATCCTGGTGCTGAGAGAAAGGAGGAGAAGCCACATGAACTTCCTAACCCTGATCAAGGACCAGGCTGATTACCACAAATGTTTTTTCCTGAAACTCCAGACCAAGCCACCAATCTAAAGAAGGGTGTGTTGGCCCACAAGGCTCACCTGAGAAGCAAGGGCCAGGAATCCTAACCTGAAGGTCGCTGACCCCCAGGCCCCTTGAGCTCTGGCCCCTTTACTCCATCAGGCACCT